CTAGAAAAATGTATTTATTCTCCTGTCTCGCTAACCTGTAAGTAGAACAGTTAAAAATAAACAGTATCATCTGCAAATAACGATACATCAAAGTCCAACCCATTTGATTGTGGTTATCATTTACATTTTTTAAATGTGCTAATGCCTTTTCACTCCTGACTTGGAAATTAATAAGCGGAGACGGGATGGGGCTCATCTCATCCAGGTGGATGAGCAGCACCAGGAAAGCCTCTCTGATGCCCCAAGTTGGCAGCAGGAGCAGTGGCAGAGGAAACCACCACCTTTTCAGCTGCTGCTGTCTCAGCCAGAGGAAGAGATGACCTTGGCAATAAAATGGTTTTTTTTTTTTTTTGGTGCATTACCTCAAACAGGGCAATGAGGGAAGGGTTTGTTCCCATCCCAGGAGCACTCAGTAGGGTCCAGCAGGATAAAGTACTGGAAGGGGAAGGTCTAGCCCCATCCATGCTCACAAGTCCTGGAATCATGGGCTCCATCCTCCCTGCCCAGGGCATGCAGCGCTTCCAAACACCATCCATGCTCACAAGTCCTGGAATCATGGGCTCCATCCTCCCTGCCCAGGGCATGCAGCACTTCCAAACAACAGGGTCCAGCAGACCCAGAGGAAAAGCCAAGGAGAAGGATTGTGGTCTAGTTCCTTGGGGTCAAGGCAGGCCCTTTGAAGCATGAACTGTCTGCCCCAGGAGGCCAGTGGGCAGAAATTTCCCCACCAGTGAGAAGCCATGGTAGAAATTCATCGTTCTGATCTGGCTTAGTTGGGATTTCAGTATCTTTTTACAAATGAGCCCAAAACAGTCAGGGCTAGAAATAAAAAGAGGGAGAATAAATATATTTTCCCTCTCCTCTCTCCAAATACACGTGCTTGGTCATCTTCATCACCTCCTCCTGAAAGGCCACCTCTCTAGACCCAGTGGCACAGACCAGGCACCGTGAAGTTGAGAGTCCCCATGAAGTCACAGCCTGGGCATGACACTGAGAAAAGTGAGATGTTGGGCACATACACTACCTGCAGCCAAATAGGGCCTGAAAGGAGGGTGTCAGAGGACTTTGGTGGCAGATAATCCACCTCATGTCTCTGGTGTCCAGTCAGCAAAGCAAGACCTTAGATTAAAAAGAAGCACTCCCGTGAAACTGAACCAAACAGTGGACAAAAACCTCCCCTTCTCTCCACCCCATCCCACGGATTTTGTGGCTGCACGCCGAGTTTAGCAGAAGGAACATCCTCAGATAATGTCTGAGGACTTCACAGCTTCATAAATGCAACCCAAACCATTTCTGAAGCTTAGTTTCATTGGTATCAACACGCACCGAGTCTCTGCAGTCCAAAGAAGTCTGTTTATTGAAAAGAAAATATTCTTTCCAGTGGTGCTTCAGAAGTGGGAAGTAATTGACCTTTAAGAAATGGTAGAAATTAGGGTTGGAAGCTGGGACATTAAACTGTTTCCCAATAGTCTCCCAGAGTGTGCAAATCTCCTGGGCAATATTTCTTACAGAGCTATAAGATTCTGCATATAAACAGCTCATGACACTTCTTTCAAGCTTCAGCCTCTGAATAATGGTACAGTTTCCTGAAACATCAGTATTATATTCCAGTGAAAATGACTCATTTGGGTTGAAGTGCGATTCTTTGCAGAAATCAGGATTGTAAAGTCCCATTAAAGTGCTAATAGGGACCATGAGATTCAATTCCCCTCTGTTTTGCCAGGAGGTATTTTGGGATAATTTTGCTGTATTTACTATCAAATAACTTGTCACCAAGGCTCACCACACTCTGACTTGCTGCCCAATAAAAGCATGTCCTAAACTTCAGTGCTTATAAGATCAGAGAGTTTTAATTTTCTTTAAAACTATCATAAAAATTTTAAACACGTTACAAAAGAGCTGTTACAGCATCCAGGCGCTGAAGATCTCTCACCAGCATTTCTGTCAGCATGAAAGCACTTAAAACTTGGATTTGAACCATCCTCCCCGTAATGAGCGAACTGAACTTTGAATTTATGAAGAATATTTTCGGATTCTTTCAGCTGCAAAACCTCGTGTGTGGACATGCCTCAGCATTTCCGTGCACTCCAAGCTGACAAAGTAAAATATCACCCGTAGCTCTGAAGCTCTCCTGACAGATGGGGGAAAATTATTGAGCACATTTGTTATACAGCTTCCCTGATCAAACCCTGACGCATCCATAGTCTCCCAGACAGTACTGCCAGGCAATTAGCTAGAAAAATGTATTTATTCTCCTGTCTCGCTAACCTGTAAGTAGAACAGTTAAAAATAAACAGTATCATCTGCAAATAACGATACATCAAAGTCCAACCCATTTGATTGTGGTTATCATTTACATTTTTTAAATGTGCTAATGCCTTTTCACTCCTGACTTGGAAATTAATAAGCGGAGACGGGATGGGGCTCATCTCATCCAGGTGGATGAGCAGCACCAGGAAAGCCTCTCTGATGCCCCAAGTTGGCAGCGCAGGCCACCTGAGGGATGAGCTGCTCATCCAGATAAAAAATTGGCCCAGGTTTTATACCAGTGAGCTACATCAGACTCAACCTGCATGCCATGGTGTGGAGCTCATGGCCAGCACACAAGGCCAAGCCTCCACCACCACAGCTGTGAGAAACTGCTGCTTCTGGCATGTCCTTGTAAACTCTGACACTGAACATGAACTTCACTTCCACCACTGTGCAAACCCCAGCAGGAGATAGCACCTCGCAGCGTCCCACCCCCTGAGACTGGAGTCTGTCTAAAAGAGTGGGTGTCTGGAGAAAAGCAACATGCTCTCCCGCCTCTTCCCCACTTCCCTGGCCTTGCTGGATGGAGAATGACATAAAGGTTGTTCACTACTGTCGCTTGGAGCTGACAAGTCCTCCCAGCAGTGCTGAGCTCCCCACATCAGATTGCACTTGGTGGGAGCTGGAGGCACAGAACAGCTCTGGAAACCAGTCCTGGTGTGCTGCGTTCTCTCCCAGCCATATCTGGTTGTCCCTCTTCTGTGTGTCCCATCCAAGGTTGGGGGAGATGGAGACAGAACACCACATGCAGTGCTACAGTCCTGAAGTCTTGGGAGCTGCCCCACTGGTGGGTTAGTGGGCAGAGAGGTGCAGGAGAAACAGGACTGAGAGACAGTTGAGCAGGGAGCTGTGGTAGAAGACAGCATTGAGGCAGGGTGGGAGTCAGATCTTCTTGTTCAGTGTCTTCAGCAGAGATGTCTCTCCTTAGCAGGTATCCTGGGATTCCCTTTACATTCTAAAATCATTAGTGCACAATTAATTCAACCAACCGGTCTCAACTCAGCACCCAGCCCAAGACCCCAGGCTGGATGAGCAGTTCAGGACAAGGACGGTCAACCACGGGTGTTAGAAAGTGGTGGCATCTCTGTCCTTGGAGGTTTCCAGCCTGTAGAAGGACAGGGCCCTGAGAAACCTAATCTGACTTGGAAGCTGGCCCTGCTCTGAGCAGGAGGTGGGACTAAAGACCTCCTGAGGTCTCTCCCAACCTGAATTAACTAAGAACTACAAAATGTTTGATTATCTCTCACACAATCTTCAGATGTGGGCAGATAGGTTAGGGAAAAACACAACAAAACTGGGATAAGTGGTTGATACCTCAGATGGTTGAGCTGCCATTTGAGGGGACCTCTAAAGGCTGGGCAATGGGCAGACAGGAACATCATGAAATTCAACCAAGGGACCTGGGGAGAAACAACCCCCTGCACCCATAAAGGCTGGGGGGTCGACCACCCACAAGGCAGCAACAGAAAAAGACCATGGGGAGCTTGTGGACAAAAATTTGAACATGAAGCAGCAATGTGCCATTGCAGCAAAGGGAGCCATTAGCGCTCCCCAAGGAAAAGCATCGCCAGCAGGTAGAGAGAGGAGATCCTTCCTCTCTACTCAGCACTGGTAAGACCTCATCTCGAGTCCTGTATCGAACTGTGGACTCCCTGGCATGAGAGATATGGACATACTAAGTCAAAGCTCTTTAATATTTGCCTGTGTCAGTATCTGGATGGTGAGATTTCTGCACTGGAAGCAGTTGAGTTCCTCACATCCACTCTGTTACAGAACTGGCTGATCATTTACAGAGGTGACCACGTGTTCTACAAGTCCCAGGCAGGGCAGTAGCTGTAGGACCATCCTTGTTTGTGTGTAATGGCAAGATATCTCAGTACTTCTTTAAACAAATATGTGTCTTCATCTTTCAGTGACAATTTCTGGCCAAATGAGGAATTTGACCCACGTATTTAATGCTGGGCAATTGGCAGGTCCTTGGACCAGTGGGGAAAGTTCCTCTCAAATCTACCCTGCAACACCTTCAGCACGTACCAGCACATCTGTCCGACTCACAGCTGCAGCTAGATGCTGATTTCCATCAGGGTGGTGGTTCATTCTCTGCTGGGACAACCTGCAGAGGTGTCACAACAGCCTGGGACACATTGAGGTGCCTGACCCCAGAGCAGCCCCTCCCCAGAAAATGGTGATCCCACTGCTGATGAACTTAGCATTGGACAGGACACTTCCCACCTTGGCCACAGTTCAAAAGCTCTCACATCAGTGTCTTCTGACAGCTGAGACACCCCAGGGGACTCCCCAGCCCCCAGGTGTTGCTCCCCCAGATACAGCTCCTTACAGGTCCTGTGTCACATCCAACAACCCCACGGGGATGTTTTGGACACTTGGGAGTACACTGGATGTCTCTGGGTGCCTCCATGCAGGGACCTGAGTCCCTCCCTCTGTGTCCACAAAGGACCAGGGTGTCTTCAGGTGTGAAAGTTTGCTAGTACGAAGTCTCTCGTTTTCTGAAGAAGTCCCTGTTTTTCAGTACTTTGTCTCCCTCAACTATTGGTTCACCTTGGCTGGGGTGGTGGTGGGGGCAGGACCACTCGTGCCAGCTGGTTCCCCAACCCTCACACCATCCCTTGTTCCTTGCAGGTCCCTTGCACTCGGTCAGCAGTACAGCTCCCTGGGGTCCCAGCCCATCCTCTGCGGCTCCATCCCCGGCCTCGTCCCCAAGCAGCTCCGCTTCTGCCGCAACTACATTGAGATCATGCCCAGCGTGGCCGAGGGGGTGAAGTTGGGCATCCAGGAGTGCCAGCACCAGTTCCGGGGCCGCCGCTGGAACTGCACCACCATCGATGACAGCCTGGCCATCTTCGGGCCGGTCCTGGACAAAGGTAAACAGTGAAGCCAAGGGGGTGTGGGGGAAGAGGCTTGCCAGGGTGGGTAGAGCTGTCACATCTTGGCTTTTGGACAGGCTGTGAATGTCCTGGAGCACATTGGGGGAAGAGTCTGATGTCCTAACTTTAAACCCTAATTTCTCCAATTTCCTTTTTCCATTTTTTTTTTTTTTTGGTGCATTACCTCAAACTGGGCAATGAGGGAAGGGTTTGTTCCCATCCCAGGAGCACTCAGTAGGGTCCAGCAGGATAAAGTACTGGAAGGGGAAGGTCTAGCCCCATCCATGCTCACAAGTCCTGGAATCATGGGCTCCATCCTCCCTGCCCAGGGCATGCAGCGCTTCCAAACAACAGGGTCCAGCAGACCCAGAGGAAAAGCAAAAAAGAGAGATTGTGGTCTAGTTCCTTGGGGTCAAGGCAGGCCCTTTGAAGCATGAACTGTCTGCCCCAGGAGGCCAGTGGGCAGAAATTTCCCCACCAGTGAGAAGCCATGGTAGAAATTCATCGTTCTGATCTGGCTTAGTTGGGATTTCAGTATCTTTTTACAAATGAGCCCAAAACAGTCAGGGCTAGAAATAAAAAGAGGGAGAATAAATATATTTTCCCTCTCCTCTCTCCAAATACACGTGCTTGGTCATCTTCATCACCTCCTCCTGAAAGGCCACCTCTCTAGACCCAGTGGCACAGACCAGGCACCGTGAAGTTGAGAGTCCCCATGAAGTCACAGCCTGGGCATGACACTGAGAAAAGTGAGATGTTGGGCACATACACTACCTGCAGCCAAATAGGGCCTGAAAGGAGGGTGTCAGAGGACTTTGGTGGCAGATAATCCACCTCATGTCTCTGGTGTCCAGTCAGCAAAGCAAGACCTTAGATTAAAAAGAAGCACTCCCATGAAACTGAACCAAACAGTGGACAAAAACCTCCCCTTCTCTCCACCCCATCCCATGGATTTTGTGACTGCATGCCGAGTTTAGCACAAGGAACATCCTCAGATAATGTCTGAGGACTTCACAGCTTCATAAATGCAACCCAAACCATTTCTGAAGCTTAGTTTCATTGGTATCAACACGCACCGAGTCTCTGCAGTCCAAAGAAGTCTGTTTATTGAAAAGAAATTAGTCTTTCCAGTGGTGCTTCGGAAGTTGGAAGTAATTGACCTTTAAGAAATGGTAGAAATTAGGGTTGGAAGCTGGGACATTAAAGTGTTTCCCAATAGGCTCCCAGAGTGTGCAAGTCTCCTGGGCAATATTTCTTACAGAGCTATAAAATTCTGCATATAAACAGCTCATGACACTTCTTTCAAGCTTCAGCCTCCAAATAATGGTACAGTTTCCTGAAACATCAGTATTATATTCCAGTGAAAATGACTCATTTGGGTTGAAGTGCGATTCTTTGCAGAAATCGGGATTGTAAAGTCCCATTAAAGTGCTAATAGGGACCATGAGATTCAATTCCCCTCTGTTTTGCCAGAAGGTGTTTTGGGATAATTTTGCTGTATTTACTATCAAATAACTTGTCACCAAGGCTCACCACACTCTGACTTGCTGCCCAATAAAAGCATGTCCTAAACTTCAGTGCTTATAAGATCAGAGAGTTTTAATTTTCTTTAAAACTATCATAAAATTTTTAAACACGTTACAAAAGAGCTGTTACAGCATCCAGGCGCTGAAGATCTCTCACCAGCATTTCTGTCAGCATGAAAGCACTTAAAACTTGGATTTGAACCATCCTCCCCGTAATGAGCGAACTGAACTTTGAATTTATGAAGAATATTTTCGGATTCTTTCAGCTGCAAAACCTCGTGTGTGGACATGCCTCAGCATTTCCGTGCACTCCAAGCTGACAAAGTAAAATATCACCCGTAGCTCTGAAGCTCTCCTGACAGATGGGGGAAAATTATTGAGCACATTTGTTATACAGCTTCCCTGATCAAACCCTGACGCATCCATAGTCTCCCAGACAGTACTGCCAGGCAATTAGCTAGAAAAATGTATTTATTCTCCTGTCTCGCTAACCTGTAAGTAGAACAGTTAAAAATAAACAGTATCATCTGCAAATAACGATACATCAAAGTCCAACCCATTTGATTGTGGTTATCATTTACATTTTTTAAATGTGCTAATGCCTTTTCACTCCTGACTTGGAAATTAATAAGCGGAGACGGGATGGGGCTCATCTCATCCAGGTGGATGAGCAGCACCAGGAAAGCCTCTCTGATGCCCCAAGTTGGCAGCGGGAGCAGTGGCAGAGGAAAACACCACCTTTTCAGCTGCTGCTGTCTCAGCCAGAGGAAGAGATGACCTTGGCAATAAAATGGCTTTTGTCCTGCCCTGAGACATCTCCTCAGCTCTGATGAACCTGGGACCGCGGGGGCTGCGGGTAGGGGCTGCTGGACACGTCTGTTGCCTTCACAGCATCGCCTCCTCCAGGCTGGTGTCCCATCTTCCTTAGATGCAGCAACAACTGAAATCAAGAGTTTTGAGCCCATAACCTGAAACTGCGACCTGCGATCGTCCCTGACTGTGTGTTCTCTGCCTGGGCAAGCCCTGAACGGGGGCTGTGTTCTCCTCCTGTTGACTTCCAGGACACCGGGAGGGGTGTAATCCCATAAACTGAGATTCATTAATTCATAGCAAGACTCAGATGACACCAGTGCAGTTTGCACCATACATTAGGCCAAGAGATATTAAATACTAAGCCCAAAATAGCCAGTATTTAAGCTATGATAACTACCGGGATGAAGTCACCACTAAGTATCAAAGAGCAACGTTTAGGTTAATCTCATCTACTACTCCCTTAGGTAGATTGAAACGATTTTGGAAAAAAACTTCAAAGGTGTAGCTCTCACTAAAATGCCATGGAAAATCATTTCTAATACAGCCTGAAAAGAAATTGAGGATAATTTCATTTTAAAGGAGCTGCAAAAAATGTTAATCATGGTTGCTTCCATTCAAGGAGAGCTGAGCCTGCAGAGCGATGTGGTCTGGGAAACGATGGAGATATTTGTGGTGGTTTGGCTGTGCAGACCCTCTCCTGACACACGTGTTCCAGCCGTTCCTGGTTGCCCTTTTCTGGGCACATCGTCCAGGCTTCGTGTGCTGGTGGCAGGTGGGAGCACAGGGCATCCCTCCCTGAAACAGCCCAAGGGATCCCTGCCCTTCCCAAGAGACAGCCTCCCGTCACATCCCCATCTCCCCTCTCTTCCCATCTCCACCGCACCACTCGAATCTCTCTTCTCACAGTCTCTTGCAATAAACAGCAAACACAGCTCCATGAAACCCCCGGGGGGGCAAAGTGCTCCCATTCCTCTCCACCGCACCACTCGAATCTCTCTTCTCAGTCTCTTGCAATAAACAGCAAATACAGCTCCATGAAACCCCCAGGGGGGCAAAGTGCTCCCGTTCGGGGGCCACTGAATATTGACCATGGCCACGGCTCCACCTTGACCGGCCCCAGTTCCTCCTATGTCCCCCACTCGAAACTCTGACTCGTGAGGAATTCACCATAAAACGTGTGGCAGCTGTAGCTGACGAGGCTTTGGTTTCCCAGGGCCACCGATCACCCTCCTGCGCGTTTTCTTTTGTGCGTGTCTTGTTTTCTAACCTGGGCTATGAAAAAAAAAAAAAAAAAGAAAGGAAAAAAAAAAAAACCAACACTAAAAACTAACCCCAGAATGTGGGGTAAGATCATGTTTTTACAAGCAAGTTCTCCGAGATGATTTATACTGCAGGTGTGCAGTCTGGGACAAGGAGGGAAGAAAAACCTGCTTTCTCCCCCTCTCTCTTCTCCCTCCCTTTTCTTTTTAAAATAAGGTCAGTTTTTATTAAGAGACAACCTCTCTCCCAGCCAAGTCCTGCCCCACAGTGGAAAAAAAAAAAAACCAACACTAAAAACTAACCCCAGAATGTGGGGTAAGATCATGTTTTTACAAGCAAGTTCTCCGAGATGATTTATACTGCAGGTGTGCAGTCTGGGACAAGGAGGGAAGAAAAACCTGCTTTCTCCCCCTCTCTCTTCTCCCTCCCTTTTCTTTTTAAAATAAGGTCAGTTTTTATTAAGAGACAACCTCTCTCCCAGCCAAGTCCTGCCCCACAGTCAAGGTTGAGCCAACAGCCAGGTGACCTGCTGCTGCTCTGGGAGGGGGAGCAATCGCCATTCTCTTGGCTAATGATAAAGTCCGTGATTTTGGTTAAAGCGCGGTGCCCAGAAAGAGTTGGTTATGAGTGCACAGGGCAAGAAGGTCCCACAGGCATGTGGAGACTGACTCCTGGGATGGAGAAGAGGTCTCTGAGCCACAGACAGGACTGGATCTGCAGGAGTGAGTTTAGCAGGAGCCTCAGCAAACTCATATATTTCATGGAATCATAGAATGGTTTTGGTTGGAAGGGACCTTAAGGACCATCCAGTGCCACCCCCTGCCCTGGGCAGGGACACCTCCCACCACACCAGGTTGCTCCAAGCCCCCTCCAACCTGCCCTTGAACCCCTCCAGGGATGGGGCAGCCACAGCTTCTCTGGCCAACCTGGGCCAGGCTCTCACCACCCTCATTTCATCTTGAGCACCGGGGGAACCGCTCATCCCCCGCCTCCCCGCACCACGGCTGCCTGTTTCTCCCTCTGCTTCTCCAGGAAGGTGCCACCAGTTCTCCAGAAAGATCCTCCTGGGCTGCAGCCCCTTGCCGGGGGTGCCAGGGGCAGGGTCTGGCCGTGCGTGGCTGCGAGGAGCGTGACGGCAGCGGGGCCAGGTGCAGAAGAGGCAGCTGGGCCCGGGCTGCCTTCAGGGGTCCTTGTGTGCTCGGCTAAGCCCCTGACACGAGCTGTGAAAAGGCAGACCCGCACCAAGATAACCCATGGCTTTTCTCAGCCATGACACCCGCAGTCATTTGCATCTAAACAGGGGTGTGTGGGATCAGGGGCCGTCTTGATATAAACTCAGCAGCTTAAAGGGAGGGGGAGGGAAAGGAGAGAGGGAGAGAGAAAAATAAGCTTATACCGATGAGAAAGAGCTAAGCTTCCTCCCCTACTGTGAGGCAGGGCGAGCGATACCGTCCCAGCGCCGCAGTCGTTTCAAATCGCTGCAGCATTCACACGCCCTTTAGCCATTCTGATCCGGTGGCGGGGGGCTGGGGAGAGCCATCAATAGGGATTTCCCAGCCGGGCTGGCGGGATTGGAGGGTGACGGCAGGACAGGGGAACATTGCCCCGTTGCTACGAGGTGCTCCTGGGGAATGCCAGTGCTCTGTGCCGTGGGTACGCTGGCCGGCGGAAACATTCCGCATTATGCTGGTAATACAGTGTGACACCGCGGGAACAATGGCAAATTGAGTGTCCCAGCAGGTAACGGCCCTGGCGGGGAGACAGTCGCAGTGGTGCACTGTCAAGGCGGCTCTAATCCTCCCTCGCCAGCCCCTCCCCTGGTTCTGGGAACGCTGCTCCCGCATTTCATCTCTGGGAAATTCTCCCGGCTCCTCACCCAGACCCGGGGGAGAATTTTCAAGGCGAGGCGTTTGTGTCCAGGGCTGGCTCCCCCCCAGCCCCGCCGTGGTGGGGAGAGCTCCTGGCCGGGCAGAGGCAGGGGGTGCCGGGGGGGCAGTGGGGTCTATCCCACCCCCCGGGGCCGGCGAGCATCCCCTGGGGCCAGCGAGCACCGTCCCTCTGTCCAACCACGGCACCAGCCCCAGCTCAGCTCCTGTCCCAGCATCCCCGCTCGGTGCAGGGACGTACAAAACCTGCAGCCACTCTCCATCCCTTGCCCACCGCTTCTTCACACACCCCGCTCGGTGCAGGGACGTACAAAACCTGCAGCCACTCTCCATCCCCTGCCCACCGCTTTTCCATCCCCCCCCATCCCCAGGATGGAGAGCAAAGGGACGTCAGAGCCAGGAGAGCGGCTCGTGTCCTCCCCCTCTGCCCCCCAAGCTGTCCTGGGCTGGGGCCAGAAGGGCTCGCTGGCTCCTCTAATCTCGTCTGCTTTAGATCACAGGCCACCCAAATAGCCTTTGTCAGGCTGAAACACTCCAGTTGGAGCAACCTCCAACCTGTGGCCCGTAGCCCCCGGTGCTCCCAGGGTAAGCGGTTGGTGATGGATAGATATCTAAGCAAAACCTCTTAGGTAGAGGCTGGATCTCTGCTGGCATGTCAGAGGTGGGAAGGGCAAGGAGGAAAGAGTTGCAATTAAAAGGAAGAGAAATACAGCGTGGTCCCACCAGCAAAGATGGGAGCGAGCAGCCCTGGTTTGGGATCACGTTTGGGATCTAGACCCGAGTTCCTGCACTGCAGTGGAGCAGAGATGTGCCTTTCCACAGCTGGAACATGCCCACGAGCTGCATCTTCATTGCCTGCAGGGGGTGAAAGTAGCTCAGTTTGAGACGCCTGTTTTCGGAAGCTGGACTCCACCTCTGCAGAGAAGACCGTGGGCCAAGGAACAAAACCTGGTGCAGCAAAGACCTCCCCGGGACACGAGGCAAGAGCAGACGAAGGATTCATGGGGCAGCTGAGAAGAGCGTTCATGGCTCCTGCTCTGGAAGAAAGGGATGGTCTCCAGGGTCATTGTTGGTCTGAGCCACCAGAAAATTCTAGCTTCATCCCCCAGCCACTGATGATTGTCCTGACTGTTCAGTCCACAAGGCAGCTGGAAACACCTCCTGCAGGGCAGCCAGGGCACCATCCACCAGTGATGGTACCCCCAACACCATGGCCATGTCTACCTTCAGCACCTCCCTGGTCTCCTGCCATGAGGCTGGGTTGACTCCAACATCTACTCTGGATTTAGAGACCTCAAGTCTCCCTCTTGATAAGATGGCACATAAGGTTAAAGCCCTCCAGTGTCATTCACCAGGAGCCTGTGCTTATGCAGACTGTGGCAGACCGGGGAGCACAGTTCAACTAGATATGTCCCCAAGGATAAATCTGACTGAGACATTTTCTTGACTGTGCCCGGAAACGCCTCTATTTAGTACAGCGTTATGGAAGTCAACGGCCAAACTCCTGTTGATTCCAAAATGGGTAAAAATAGTAAAACACTGTCTGCTTTATAAAAAAAAAAAACAACACAAAACAACACAACAAAAACCACAACAAAACAAACAAACAAAAAAGCCCCAAGCAACCAAGAAGAAAAAAAAACACCTCAAGAAATCTGTAAAAACATCTCGCGCAGAGCTCTGTAGCTGAGCAGCCAGGTCGCCACTGCAAGAACTCAGACTCCAAGCCCAGGGACCAGAGCTTCTGTCACTGCGCTGAGCAGGGACACACACAGTCTGTGTCCTAACGCAGGAGGTCTCTCTGAGCTGTCCCGAGCTGTGGCAGGACTTTCTCTCCTTCAGCCCCAGCCAGTCCTCAGCTGGAAGGGAGTGTTTGTTTCTCTTCATCCTTCTGGAGAGAGGAATCAAACCCAGGAGCAGATGCGGAGATGGGCAGCTGGGATGATGAGTGCATCGGACAACATTTTATGGAAACGATTAACAAATATGGCTCTTTGCACACAGTAAAATGGAAGTTTTGCTCTCTGCAAGCACCATGAGTTAAAAACAGGGGCCATTAAAAGCTACTTGAAAATGAAAGCCAATGTGAGCACAGGAACAAAGGGTATAAATTGGCTGGGCTTTAGTCTGGGTTGAAAATTCAAAGAAGTTCACCATGGTCCTGCTGGAAGAGCCACCAGTCAGAGCATCAGCAAAAAGAGCAGCTGAGTTCAGAGCACGTCACAGCTTCTACAACAGCCTGCTGAAGAGTTAACGTACCAAGATCTATAATGCAGGAAATTCCCTTTCAGTTTGAGAGTCTGTTGTCCACTTACGTACAGAACACAAAACTCCCCAAAACAAGACATTGAACTCACAGATTTCACAGTAGGAAGATGGCACCACTCTAAGTGGACAAGGTCATCTCCTTTTGCAGCGTCTAAAGCTAGGGCTAGGTCTTCTCACAGTATTGCTATTGTGCACTTCTAATATCTCAGAAGTTTCCTCTGAGTGTAGCAGACCAAGTTGATGTGTCTTGATGGCTCCATGCTCCATGTTGCATTGGGTGTGCTATTCAGAACTGCCACCCATGCTGTCCTCTCACAGGTGTGCTTCAGTGCTGGGCTTCAGTCATTTCCACCCAGAGCAACCCACCCTCAGTAAGGTGTTCTTTGTGTTTAACGGCAACCACCACTGGGTAAGGGAGGTCCCTGATGCTCTGGAAGAAGGTATTGCAGCGTGAAGGGCTGCTGGAGAGGTTTGCATTCATGATGAAGAACAGCAGCTCCCTGGCTTTGGGAACTTGAGGTGAGCTGGGAGGCTCCAGGCACAGAGCGGGCAGTTCTGGTCTGGTTTCCCACCCATTTTGTTTGGTCTCGTTGTCCTTCTCAGAGTCAGGTCACTGTAACATCCAGCCAATGTAAACATCTTTATGGCTCTGGTGGCTTCTACATACCCTGCTGCTGATGTCCAGAGTCCAGGTCAGGGCCCCACAGAGTGACCAGGGAAAGTAAGGGACGAGGTCCCACAATGGTCACAGGTGGAAGAGGTGATGTTCAGAGATGGTCCACTTCAGCAAACCCATTGCACCCATCTTGAACCCATCTTCTTGTGGATCTTCTGTTTTGTCCCCACCTCCTGCCCAGGTACCTTTGTTCAGCTGAAACAGTTTCTCTCGCTTGGCACAGAGGATCCACACATGCTCTGGTTCCCAGCCTCACTCCACCCAGCCATCCTGGGCAATTTATTTCACCCTTTCAGCATTCAGTGTTTTCAGGACTTTCTCCAGCCATTGGGCCAGTAGAAATTCATTCATGGCAGCCATGTACCTGGAGCATGTCAATAGCTACAAGGTCAAAGAGACTCGAGTTTTGTCTGCTGTGATTTCCTCCAGGACTGCTCAGTAATAAGCAACTTCAAGGTTGTCTTCACACCCTCGCCTGGTTTCATTCCATTGGTGAGAAGTCACACGTTGTTCAGTCTAGATACATGTAACAGCAATTATGAGCTCTTAGGCTTTGTCTGTCCTGTATCTTCTGAAACCATCTCGGCTTGTACAGAAGCTTCTTCATCTCCCCGTGGATTAACTCCAGGCACGGAGTCCCTCTCTGGCTTTCCAGACCAGGAATTACCCCAGTAACTCTCTTCTGAGGCCCCTCAAGCTCTTACTGGTGTGTTGTGCAGCCACTGGCACTCATGTGGGATCAGATCCTGCACCGTTGTATTTGGGGGAAATTCTGCACTTGTGATACACGGAGCTGGAGTCACGCTTCTCCTGCTGCCTGCTTCTAAAGGCAATGCCAGCAGCACCTGATTGGGAAAATGTTTATTAAAATATTAATGAAATAACTTTTTGCTTGTTCATGAGATTTAGATGATGAAGGAGGTTGGGAAGGAACACAAAAGTGTTACATTGACTGATAATCCCGTGGACTCTCTCTATTCCCAGCCACGCGAGAGTCTGCCTTCGTCCACGCCATCGCGTCGGCGGGGGTGGCCTTCGCCGTGACCCGCTCCTGCGCCGAGGGCACGTCCACCATCTGTGGCTGCGACTCCCACCACAAAGGACCTCCAGGAGATGGCTGGAAATGGGGGGGATGCAGTGAGGATGCCGACTTCGGCGTGCTGGTGTCCCGGGAATTTGCAGATGCCCGAGAGAACCGGCCGGACGCCCGCTCAGCCATGAACAGACACAACAACGAGGCCGGCAGGACGGTGAGTGCCCAGGGGTGGTTGTCCATCCCTGCATCGATGGCCCAGTCTGGCTCCCCCTGATGCAATGGGACTACAGTAATGCCCAGACAGGAGCTTTCTAGGATTATTTTTTAAGGCACAGCGTTTCCACTCTCTCCAAACTGATGGGTGGGGGTTAAGAAGAGCTAAAACACTCCTTGCTTCCAGAGGAAACATAAAATCACAGAATGGTCGGGGTTGGAAGGGACCTCTGGAGACCATCCAGTCCAACCCCCTGCCAGAGCAGGTCCACCCAGAGCAGGTCCCACAGGAATGTGTCCAGGGGGAGTTTGAGTGTCTCCAGAGAAGGAGACTCCACCACCTCCCTGGGCAGCCTCTGCCAGGGCTCTGCCACCCTCACAGCAAAGAAGTTCCTCCTCATGTTCAGACAGAATTTCCCGTGTTCCAGGTTGTGCCCATTGCTCCCTGTCCTGTCCCCAGGCACCACTGAGAAGAGTCTGGCCCCATTCTCTTCCCACCCACCCTTTAGCTATTGCTCAGCATCAATGAGAGCCCCTCTCAGTCTGCTCTTCTCCAAGTCCCTCAGCAGAGAGATGCTCCATTCCCTTTGTTATCTTCATAGCCTCTGCTGTACTCTCTCCAGTAGTTTCTTGTCCTTCTGGAACTGAGGAGCCCAGAACTGGACCCAGTGCTCCAGATGTGACCTCACCAGGGCAGAGCAGAACAGGAGGATGACCTGTCTCCACCTGCTAGCCACCCCAGGAGACCATTTGCCTTCTTGGCCACAAGGGCTCATTGTTGGCCCATGGCAACTTGTTGTCCACCAGGATTCCCAAGTCCCTCTCTGCAGAGCTGCTCTCCAGCAGGTCACCCCCAACTGTACTGGTGCAGGGGGTTATTCCTCCACAGGTGTAGGACCCTGCACTTGCCCTTGTTGAACTTCATTAGGTTCCTCTGGGCCCTAGCCCATCCTCCAGCCTGTCCATGGCAGCACAGGGGATGGTGTGTCAGCCACCCTTCCCAGTTTCATGTCCTCAGCAAATTTGCCTTGATCTCCCAAGGCAGCGCATAGAAACCCAACTCAACAGCCCAAGACCTCAGATCAACAGTGAAAAGGACTTTCCTCCCAAGCTGCTCCTTCCTGCTTGTTCCCCACTATAACATTGTCCCACCCAGGGATTCCTTGGGCTGATGATGGATGTCAGTCCCTTCCAACCCAAATATTCTCCTCTGTTCTCGCTGCAAACCCAGCACATTTTAGCCCTGTTGCAGCCTGAAGCAAACACTAGATATCACTTTTCCAGACCACCACGGGCAGAGGTGGAAGGGTAGAAGCTCAAATCTCTAACTTGTGTTAATGACTGACAGCTTCTGGTAGAAAAAAACCACACCCCACCTCTAGCAATTTTAACAAAAATCAGTGATTGTTTTGCTCCACACAGAGGAGGGTTCTGGAGATGAGAGAGCGTCATGTCCTTAGATTCACAATTTCATTTACTTCTTAGTGCAAACTGTCAGACTCTGGGCATAAAATGAAGAGATTTTAGCAAAGCCAGGACAAAGGGATCAGTCTACATCCATGTGTGTCATCTTCAACCCTCAACTTCTCTGGGCTCTGATTGTCCACACAGACATGACAGGGAGGACCCCACTGAAAGGATCAGACCACAGTTTTAGATTAGATTGGATTAGATTGGACTGGATGGGACTGGAGAGATGTTTAGAGCAGCTGCCCATCTCACCAAGCTTTTCTAGAGCAAGGTCTCCACCTGGAGATGTTTCTGCCACACATCCAGGCTCCCATGCACCACCCAATCCTGCACTCTCCAGACCAAGCTCAGATCAGATGTTTAGACCCAGGACGGCAGGAGATAAAAAGCAAACGCAGGCACCGTAAGCTTCTTCTGACCACCTTGTCTTCTCTCCCCTGGCCAGACCATCCTGGACCACATGCACCTGAAGTGCAAGTGCCACGGTCTCTCGGGAAGCTGCGAGGTCAAGACCTGCTGGTGGGCCCAGCCCGATTTCCGGGCAATCGGTGACTACCTGAAGGATAAATACGACAGCGCCTCCGAGATGGTGGTGGAAAAGCACCGGGAATCTCGGGGATGGGTAGAAACTCTCAGGGCCAAGTACGCTCTTTTCAAGCCACCGACGGAGCGGGATCTGGTCTACTACGAGAACTCCCCCAATTTTTGTGAGCCCAACCCAGAGACGGGCTCCTTTGGGACCAGGGACAGAACGTGCAACGTCACCTCCCACGGGATCGACGGCTGTGACCTGCTGTGCTGCGGTCGTGGCCACAACACCAGGACTGAGAAACGGAAGGAGAAGTGTCACTGCATCTTCCACTGGTGCTGCTACGTGAGCTGCCAGGAGTGCGTACGCGTCTACGATGTCCACACCTGCAAGTAAGCGTAGGGAGGTCTCCAGCCGATGGGAGGTTGCTCCAGAGCAGGGCCGAGGGGTCCATCAACCCTGTGATCAGCCCCACCCCCCATCCCCCTTGGTGGCCTCACACTTCAGAGGATGGCATTAAAAATAACTCCAGTGCCCTTGGTCAGGGCAGACCCTCCCACAGCCTGTCCCAGTGCTGCGGAGGAGGCTCTCAGCATCTCACCCACGCAAGGGGGTCCAAGGCTCAACCTGGTGCTGCAGACATGTTAGATCCTGGTTTGCTGGCTTCTCTCGGGCTGTTCAGGGTGACAGACTGTGGAGAAGCAGGGATGGCAGAGGTCCCAGTGAGGCACAGCCATGACACAGCATCCACAGAGCCCTGTCCTCCTCTGGGGTTGTGGCCCATGTAGATGTCAATATGGGGGTTCAGGTGGAAATTAATTTTATGGGATGAAAGCTGAGCAGGTAGAGGCTCCCCTGCCTGCTGGCATGGCCATTGTGCTCTCAGACATGGTGAGGAGGAGGAGGAAAGGAGCCAGGTCCCCACACCAGCCAGGCTCCTTCCTCCTGCTCCAAGGAGATCAGGTTGGAGAAACAAACATGTTGGAGCAGGAGAACAGAGCCCTTCACCCTGTCCTGCCTCTCACCTCCCCTTTGCCATGTCTACCCCTCACCACCCCAAATCATCTCAAAGGACCCCCCTGAAGAGGGTGGCAGGAAAAGAGAGCCTGGAGCGCATCCTCTGGCTTTTGGCCCAGGGAAGGAGCAGAGGGCATGTGGTGAGGTGGACACCTCTGACACAGGGACACATCACCACTCCAGGGGCCTCCTCACCACGCAGCTGCCCAAGGGGGATTTTAAAGGATCTGGGCAGATCCTTCCAGCACCTATTCACTAAGAGTTCCCCAATACGACTTCACGTCCCAGGGCGAGCTCAGAGCATCTGTTTGGGGACAGGGCGCCCACCAGGTGAGCTGCTGCCACACCAGCCCTGAGCATCAGCAACAGATGGGGAGACAGAAGCCATGGCAAGAAGAAATCCCTGTCCAAGCCTTCTCCTCAAGGCAGAGACAGACTTGTTCAAACCACTTCACAGAATCATCAAGGTTCCTCCTCAAGGCAGAGACAGACTTGTTCAAACCACTTCACAGAATCATCAAAGGGATCTTTCAGATCATCAAGTCCAAACATCAACCCAACACTACCCAAACCACCACTGACCCGTGTCCCTCAGCACCACGTCTGCCCGGCCCTTAAATACCTCCAGGGATGGTGACTCCACCACTGCCCTGGGCAGCCCGTCCATCCAGCAAAGGGAAGGCGATGGTGACTCCACCACTGCCCTGGGCATCCCATCCATCCAGCAAAGAGAAGGTGAGGGCAGACGGGGAAGGGAGACCTTTGTCCAACAGCACAATCCCAGGCAGATCCTTTCCTTCCCATGGGATTTCCTGAGTTACCAACAGTTTGTTCCTGAGAGGCCCACATCAAGCCCAGAAGCTCCGTAGCATCAGCAGGGACTTGGCCCCAGGTGTGACCACACAACCCCACGGCCCATCTCGGTGCAGAAGAACCAGCGCTTGTCCCTCCACCCGCTCCCCAGGTCACAGCCCCTTCCCTTGCCCAAATCCCCCTCATTTGGGGTTTCAGTTTTCATGGTGTATTGACCCCTGAAATTAAAAAAAAATATATTATCTCTGTCCTGGTGGGCTCCTCTGCAGGTGACGAGGACCAATTAGCACGTTCCAATGCAGCTTCTCACGCATCAGTGATTTCACACAGAAATACCCCTAAACCATTAAAGCTGTGACTTCTCCGCTCCCTCCTTTGTCGGCGGCACCAAAAGAGCAATAAAATAAAAGAGCAGGGTCCTGTCCCCAAAACCTGAGGCTGGAGAGAATCGGAGCAAACGCCCCGGTCCCTCCTCTGCGGAGCAGGACGAGGAGCTCCTGGGTCCAGGCAGCCCGAGCAGCAGCAGCAGCAGCTTCCTAAAATGATAAAACACAGGAGAGCTCCAAAAAGCCTCCCCCCTTCAGAAATCAGCCGCCTTCTGATGTGTATTCTATTTAAAACTATATATTAAACTCTGTGTCCGGCCAGACTCCAAGTACCTGACTTTAAACAAAAATCCCTTGTTTGTTTGTTTGGGTTTTGTTTTTTTTTTTTAATCAAGAAAAGGTATTTAATATTGAATAGAACATTTATTGCCTTGTAATTATTTTACTGTAGCCAGGTATTCTAGCACTGAAGGGAAGATCTCTTTCCATCAATCTGCTGTATCCAAAGTTTTGTATAAAGTTGTAGAGGTCGATTTTTTTTTTATTTTATATTCAGAAAATTTCTCTTTTTATAAGCATTATTTATTATACAATGTATATACTTGAGTTAACTAAGATTATATATTATATAAATATATATATTTGGAGAAAAATATATTTCAATTGCATTTTTTTTTTGTGGTACATCATTAAAGAGAAGGTAAAAAAACCAAAAACATGCATTTGCCAGCCTGTGTGGTTTTGCCTCTGGAGGTCCTTTAAGTCCTGCTGAACGACACCGGCGGGAGCGGAGGTTTGTCCCCGAGCTGCTTTACAAAAGTAAAATGCAGGAAATACAGGAGATTTCACAGCCGAACGCTGAGGTTTTTATTTATAGAGCGTCACCGCACACGCGCGTACAACACGGGACCCCCGGACTAAAGCAGGGTTCAGGCTCCCCGACCTCCCCCACCCGGGTTCTCGCAGGTTCTCACCAACCACCCTTTGATGGTTTGGACAAAGACCCAGATTTTCTCATGTAAAAACACCTTCTCCTGCCCATGGTTGATTCTGTGGATGTTTCTGCAACTTCTCCCCTACGCTGCCACCACAAGCCATATAATGGGCCAGCAGGGGATCAGGCCCAGCCAGCAGGGGTTTATGGGAGGCAGGTCCTGCCAAATGGACCTGATCTCCTTCTATGACGAGATGACCCGGTTAGTGGATGAGGGAAAGGCTGTGGATATCGTCTACCTGGACTTTCAAAAAGCATTCAACATTGCTCCCCATAGAATTCTAGTGGCAAAACTGGTTCCACATGGCCTGGACAAGCATACGATCTGCTGGATCAAGCACTGGCTGGACGATCCCAAAGAGGTGCTCAATGGAGTTAAATCCAGCTGGTGGCTGGTCACAAGCTTTGTGTCTCAGGGCTCAGTTTTGGGACCATTTCTGTTTAACATCTTCATTGACGATCTTGATAACGACATAGGGTGTATCATCAGTAAGGTCACAGATGACACCAAGTTAAGCAGGAGTGTTGATCTGCGTGAGGACAGGGAGGCTCTACAGAGAGACTTAGACAGTTGGATGGATGGGCCAACGTTAATGGTATGAGTTTCAACAAGGGCAAGTGCAAGGTCCTGCACTTGGGCCACACCAACCCCCTGCAGCGCTACAGGCTGGGGGAAGTGTGGCTGGAGCTGCCTGGAGGAAAGAGACCTGGGGGTTCTAGTTGACAAACGGCTGAATATGAGCCGGCCGTGTGCCCAGGGGGGCAAGAAAGCCAATGGCATCCTGGCTTGTATCAAAAATAGTGTGACCAGCAGGAGTACGGAGGTGATTGTGCCCCTGTACTCAGCACTGGGGAGGCCACACCTCGAGTGTTGT